GAAACACTTCTCGGTCATCGTCTTGTGCCCCTTCCTAATTATTTACTTTTGACATGCGATCTGACAGGCAATGCGTATCGCCGATGCGGACGTTTGATACTGCGACGTGAAACGTCACTAGGAAAGGGACTACGAATCGAACAAACGTGTGCTAACGCAATAAGAGCGACACTGCAACGGTTGTGTTGCGATTCTGGTGATGTAGTGCGTGACTCGACGCATTCACAGCCGCTGACGTAAAGTTACGTCATGTGTAATATAGATGTATAATATAAATAATAAACATCCTATTTAGGCGTTTTTTCCTGTTTTAATATCTTTTTTCCAAACAGTGACGATATCTATCGGGCTTCGATCGAACCTCCGCTCGTTTTGTTACATAAACTATCGTACGTCGATAGCTGGCCAAACACATTCACCGCGGAATGTATTCTTCTCTACTGCAATGTATCCTTTGTTTCTTTCGTGTGTCTTAGCCGGACATAATTAGACGTTCGTCTTATTTTTCTTTATATTAATATTTTATCTTTGTGAATTTGGAACGGAAATTTGTTTCTTTTCTTTTTTCTTCCACTCGATACAATAAGTACTTACAAGTATGATATTTTAGAACGAATTTTACAAACTGTTTATTTATTATTCAACGAATGCAGCCTGTGGCAACCAGATTTGTATCCGTCTCCTTCTCGATTAGCGTTGAATGTTAGGCAAGTAAGAAAGTTGAGAAAAAAAGGGTTAATATAAGTAAACTTATAATTTTCAACAAAATCGTAAGGCGGTACATCGACGATTGATTTCAAACTGTAAGATTCCGTGCGCGATCGAAAAGGTACGATCGGTCGATGGATTCGTTACATATTCGTGCAGCGTGGGTGATTGAAGTACAAGCGAGAGAGAAAAAAAATTCAACGCGATAGTTATTTGTTCCTAATTAAATATTATAATATAAAATTAGCGTCGAGATTTAAGATACTGCCAAAACGGTTAATTTCGTGGCAGCTAACCTATCAAGAATACAAGACAGAGTATCGAAACACGCGAAGCTGATTCGATCGAGTAAACAACGAGGATACATCAGTGAAGAGAGAAACGGAACGTTTGCGACGAAAAGAGTGACACGTGTCTCGCAGCGAGAATCAGTCTCGATACTCTAAGGGTATCTCGATCGAGACGTTAGTTTCGATTACATTTCGAGATTTCGACGTTCGACGCGCGAGTAGCGTTCTGTTGCTAACCTCGCTTTTTATCGATTAAATGCAACGCAATCGAACAGAGAACAAAAGAGCAAGAAAAGAATAAGTAGTAACTTTGCATAAAACACGATATCTCGACTGAAATTTCTCAAAACAGTCATTTTCTACCGGGCAATTGTACTCTTTTCATCTTTATCTTACTTTCTAAAGGCAAGTCAATTAATCGAAGGACAATATTAACCTTCAACGCGAAACTAACGTTATATGCGTATTGTAACGTTATTGTATTGAAATTAGACGTGCACGCTCATGCTAACGTGAAAAGTGAAAGCAGTCAACAATGATCAATGTTTTTTTGTGTTAAGAGCCGTGTTCAAGAACAAAGGATACGTTCGATAGCGTATATCGACGACCAAACGTGTCGCATATAACAGTGATCGTTTCGTGGACGCTATCCGAAATATTTCTAACCTGAAAAAAATGAAAAAGAAATGTATCTTTGACACTGTATACGATATCGTTATTTGCATAATTTCAAATTTGAAACGTTCCAACTAATTTAGCGCTTTTCACGTAATTATTATTAGAGATTGTTGCACGCAAACTACCGTGATACGAGAGACAATTAAACTCTCCGCCGGAACGAAATGTCGTAAAATACTTTGACGAAATATTACTCGCTCTTTATTCGACACACAATTCGATCAGCACTACTCGAGTGCTTTTTAATATTTACAACATACACCGACGACAATTATCGTATAATCTATTGAAGTTTTCTTTGAAATACGTTCTCAGAAAATCGATAATAACACGTACACGCGTGTACGCATACGTGGCGTGTCACCTTCGGTTAACTTTTAATGTTTCGCAGATGTTTCATTCGAATCGATGTATTTTTTGACAATTTCCATCTAAATTTCACGAATTATATAATTTCCCAACCTATTCAAGACATTGCGTCTCTAATGCGTGTGTACTTTTATGCTCAGGGCACCAAACACTTGTTGCATCGAAGGCATCTCGTGGCTATTGTTTTATTTTATTTAATTCTCTTCTCAAAATAAATAAATCGCGATTACTTGGTTCGTTTATACGGTAGCATTGGACGTCAGGGTATTTCTCTATCGGTATTAGAGTATCTGAACTCGACAGCAACAAGTTGCTAAGCTTGGTAGCGCTCTCTCTCTCTCTCTCTCTTTCTCTCTCTCTCTCTCACCCCCCTTTCTCTCTCTCTTTCTCTCTACCTCTCATTCCTCCCGTATCTCATTCTGCTTCTGTCTCTCGCATAATATCCTTTCTCGTTTTATTCCTAAATCCTCTCCTATCCTCCTCTGACGCTTCTTAACCAACCTTTCTTTCACACGTTTTACGCACGCGCAGACACACGATTACGATGCACCCTTATATACACTTACACATTCTCTCTTCTTGTTTCTCTGTTTTTCGTTTCTACCGGTGCAAAAAATAGTGTTGCTATTATACCTTTTACTTTGTGTTTCCTGCGTTTAAAAACTGTCGGCTTAAATCGTACTTCGTAAATCTAACCACTCTTTATCGTTAAGTTATACATCGAAATCTGTTCATTTTATATGACGTAAAAATACTCGCACTTCGAGCATGAGAGTATGGAGTGTATTAACGTTACATTTTATCAATGTCCGATTAACACGCGGTTACACGAACTATTGCGTTATTCGGATTGACAGAATCGAAGATGTAACCTTCGAAATACATCGATACACGATCTATCCCAAGATAATTGCTCGACCCAGTGTTCCCTTCCTATCTCGCGATGCGATCGTGAAAGCATCATCACGAATATTTGCTTCGACATCGCGCGAAAAGTTACGATGGAGCCGAGACCGTTCAAAAAAGCAACAACTAAGCGACTTTATTATGCTCCACACTCGTACGCTAGAAGTGTTTGCGAACAAAGCCGTACGAAGCTAATGCATCGTAAACATACATATACGTGCAGCAACATCGCGTTGCGTGAATATCGTTAACGAAGACACGCCGGATCGTACCAGGAAGGAGCGGATAACCTCTATACAAGTACTATCAGCCGGAACGCGATACGTCTCGAGCGTGCACACATACGTAAGTATCTTTGTAAGTTACTACCTTATGGATATTTATTTAGATGCTTTCTATCTTATTTATCATTAGTACTATTACTACCACGGTGCCCTGGCTGTCGGTAAACTACACAATGTATAGCTATATTTATATAGCTAAATAAATTAAATATATAGCTATATTCGAAATAAAACTATATTCCTCGACTGAGATTGTGTTATGCGCCATACGTGTGCTTCTTTTCCCTTTGCGTGCAAATAGATTTTGCGTAATTCAATCGCTGCTGCTGCTGCTACTGCTGCTGGACACTGAGAGATATTGATTTCTCGAATGACGTTACCGCGATCAAGTTCGACAACGAATGCAGGTTAGTTGGACGTTACTCGTCCGAATGGCAAAACAAATGTTTCTAATTCGAAATTGAACGGAGCGTAGTAAAATTGTGCAAATAAGATTACTCGCGGGAAATTTGAAGATTCGAAATTCTGTGTATAAACGTAGATCTCTATTTCGATTAATGTAAAATTGCTATAAAAGATACATCAGTTACTAAATTACATCGGTCATTTCTTGATCATCGATCGTTTCCTTTCATGTTGTTGCACTACTATCTATGTTTTACCCAGCGCCGTGAATTTTCTCGCCTTTCTTTCAGTTTTGGGGTTGGGCTGCGCGGTGTATACGTGTTTAGGAACCTTAATAAGGCAACGAAGAAGCCCTGAATTTTACGAATGTATTATTTTTTTTCGTTTCCACACTCTTTAAAGATGCTATTAAAGCTTTACAATTTTCATAATGCTCAGGCACGAACAAAACCATTTGTAAATTATTAATTATTCTCTAAGAGAGAGACCCGGTACCTTGTATGATTCTCCTTCTACGCGTTTTTTCATTTTTCATAAATCCTAATTCTTCTCTTATTCGCTTAATTAACTGCGATACATTTTATTTCGTAATACATTATATATATATATATAATACACGTATATATACACGTATATATATATATCGATACAAAAAACTATAAAGCACAAAAATTACGCAAAAGCTTGTGCCATGATACCTACATATCGTAATTGGATTATTCCGAATTACAGCGTTTCATCATAGCGAAAATATATAATTACGCGTAAATAAAAAGTTAAAAGAATGTTCGTCGTACACCGTCGTACACGAATTTTTAGATATTCCTACAAGATGATACGATTAACACAAAAGTTAAACAAAACCGTCGAAATTGAACACATTATCGGCCTTGTCGAATATTCTCCCAATTAATTTTTCGTGCAATTCATAGATAACATCCAGACAAAAGCTCTCAAAAAATATATAAATATAAAATACCTTTCCCTTTATACTAACAAATTTTTAAATTTTTTTCAGGTGAAACGTAAGCACAATCGAACAGAGTATAACATTCGTAAAGTTCAGTAACCGTTAACAGACAAAACAGCAATTTGTATACAAAACTTTTAAACAATATCATATCACAGTACTAGCTATAAATACAACGTTTAAAAGAGAGCTGAAAACGAGAGCTAAACCAGTGCTTGGGGAGAAAGGGAGAAAAAAAAACATCGAATGAATCTCTACACAAAACTTGTACACACTCTGCGAGAATCACGGGACCGAGGCTCCATCTTTGCTTTTATCGTTAATATTTTCACTACCGAAAAGATAAGAGGGAGGAGAAAAAGAAGAAGAGGGGGAGAGAAATTAAAAGAGAGGAACACAGAGAGAGAGAGAGAGAGAGAGAGAGAGAGGGGGGGGAGAGAATGAAGAAAGAGAGAGCTTATTATGCTACGCGTCGAAATTCGGATGGAAATAATATTCACGATAGAACGGAAAACAAACGTGTTTTATAGTTGTGAAATCACTAAAAACGTTACAGTGCGCATGAAAATATGTCGGTTTTTCCTTATCACATGTGCAACAATTTTCGCACCTGCTCGTCTTCGGAATATCTATCACTCCGTTCATTGTCCTTTGTAAAACAACACGACGTTTTACACATTAATCGCCTCTCTGTCACGTTCTTTTTTTTCTTGCCCTTTTGCCTGTTCTTCCTTCTCATCTTCTTTCGCACCTTCATATGATAAAACGTATACGTACATAGGTACGTCGTGTTCGTCTCATCACGTATGTACATGTAAAAGCGACTGGCTGCCGATGATTGACTGGACCGTATTCAGATGATAAAACGAATCAACCATCCATTCGAGATGCCGTTGATGACAACGGAGGGTACGGGTTATGTACCAAGGCCGGAATTCCAGTTGCGTCAGGCTGCTGACTGGTTGAAACCGAGCAAGAAATAGAGTGTTGCTATTTCTTGATCGGCGTGCCTCGTTGCGTCAAACCTTCGAATCGTTTGAACGTGTAATTAATGAATACCCAGTCCTTGTATGATATTTCTCCGTCTTGAGGCATCGGCGCAGATGCTGTATAGTAAATGGAGAGAAGAAAAAGAGGAAATTACATCCAACCTTACAACGAATAATCGAATAATCGTATCGCTCTTTGTCTGGCTTTTCTCGTCGAGACAAGCGTCCAGCGTACTTACGTATTTCCAATTTCACGTCTGGAAAGTCATCGAAATTGGAGGTATCATCTATGGAACGCACTTCGACTGGAATCGCGGCTGGTCTCTCTCTAATGTGTTCCCAATCGACACCGCGGAAGAAAGGAGCTAATTTAAGCTCTTCGATACCTCTTTGCGCACCTAAACGGCATTTCGCAAGAATAATCGTGAGTAAGTACGACCAAGACTATCAACCTAGGATATATTATCGAGATACTAAATCCAAGATATTAACCTAATCTTCTGTCAGCTTCGCAACAAAATCTGATTATGGTATCCTTAGCTTCCTCGCTAATGGGAACCTCTGGTGGAAAAACTAAGGTCTCTCTCCAATTCATTACCTTTCTGTACGTTTCTTGAGGATTCTCGCTGCAGAACGGAGGATATCCTGGAACGAGTACGAATATATTAATACATTCCCTGTCTGGGAAACGTCGAAAAGCAGATGATACGCGTTATACTCCGCCCAACACCGGAAACGTCGTTCAACTGTGGGAGAACAAAGTATAGTACCTATGAGCATCTCGTACATGATAACTCCCAGGGACCAGCAGTCACAAGCAGGTCCATAACCAGTTTGCAAAAATACTTCCGGAGCTATATAATCGGGCGTTCCTACTGTACTATAAGCTAACGCTCTCCTATTTCTTTTCCAGCTCTCTGCTCTTCTTTTACTATCCATCGCTCCGCCACTTCCGCTTCCACAGGATGTCACTGTAACAGAACGGTTAAATGTCGCTTTACGGAGGAAAGAACGGACGAAGAACCTGCGGAGGAATAGTGTATAATACGTAACGCTCATTTCGTAGATTATAGGTAATCAAATAAACGGAAGGGTGAAAAGAAAAAAAAGTAGAAAAAACTAAAATTTGATTGCTTACTGAAAAGCGAGTGCTTACTGAAATCCGAAGGCTTCGCTTGACTGAGATCTCGGTAGAAATCGGTTCTATGAGATTTTTTCAAACCTGTACATAGCCCAAAATCAGAGAGCTTTATATGACCTCGTGCATCCAATAACAGATTGTCAGGTTTGATATCTCTGAAAAAGATTAAACCGATATATCTACATGCATCGTTCCGTCTCTATTTGCTCTACTCTACACTTTACCTATGAATGAAACCCAGCTTGTGAATAGAGTCGATCGCCAACGCCGTCTCGGAGATATAAAACTGCGTGCACTCTTCGGAAAGGGTATCTTTCTTCATCAGCAATGTCATCATGTCACCTGGAATTATCACGATTCGTCATTGTACGCTCGTAAACACTCGGGAACAAGGATCGTAGGATGTCAGAGCCTCGAATTCGATACAAATTGAGAAGAGGTCGTAAACGTTTATCATAATTAGGTCACGCAACGCAAGCAAAGTGTGCGTAATCTCGATTCGAAACGGAAACGTATCCATCCTATCTATGTTTATGTCACATACATATACATATGCGGGTTTTGTAACAATAATTCCAGACCGGTATATACCAGTACGAACTTGGAGATAACGGCATATTCCACGGTGCCAAATAAATGTTGCGAAAGAGAAAGAGAAAGAGAAAGAAAAAGAAAAAGAAGAGGAAGAGGAAGAAGAAGAAGAAGAAGAGGATACGAAAAGGATAAGACGAATAGACGAAAAGCAGAGGTGGAAGAAGTTTGCATAGGAATAAAAGCTTACCGCCTGGAAGAAACTCCATGATTAAATACAGGTTTATAGGATCTTGAAAGCTATAATACATTTTTACGACCCACTGATGATCCGCTTCCACCAGCACGTCTCTTTCGGCCCTGACGTGCGCCACTTGCTCCTTTTCCAGCATATCGGCTTTTCTTAGAATCTTCATCGCATACACGTGCCCGGTGTCCTTCTTCTGCACGAGTCTCACCTTTACGGTAGATCGATAACAAACAGCAACAAGATTACAAACGGAGATTACTTTCAAACCGATCTCGTCGTCGTTATTCGTTCGCAGGTACAGTTCGATCGATCTATCATCGGTAATATCAAGGTTTTTCGCGTCGCAGGTTTTACCTCTCCGAAAGCACCTCTGCCGATAACTTTGAGAGGTTCGAAGTCTTCGACGCCGAGCCGGGAGCGTTTCAGGCGAAGGAATTCCGTCTCTTTCTGGGCATGCTGTAATCGCTTCTCCTGCTTCTGCTGCTCCGACAGACCCTCGTCTTTCAGCGATTCCTCTAATTTCGCCAGTCTTTGTTTTCGCTCGATATGCTGAGCTATCAGATTACTGTAATAATTCTCCAACGTTACCTAAAGTCAGAAACACACAAATCTCGGTAGAGAAAATAAACGGTCCGCGTGGCTTATATATAGTGGGAAATAGGTTAAGGAAACGATGCGACATCGACTAGAAATTTGCTAGAAGGGGGATACAAGGAAGCGGAAAAGTGGAAAGAGGGTACACGAGAGAGGACTCACCTTGGCCTTTGTAGCCTTGTCCAATGTATGGCCGCTGAAACGGATCGTGCTCTCTGTGGCCGCCATCTCCAACACCCCTGTAATACATGCAAAAGGAGGTCACCGAGTGTCGCACACCGATCTCCAGAAGCGAGGTCTCGCGCCATGACAATGACACGAATCCTTCCGCACTCGAATCCCCGGATCTAGTTAGGAGCTGGTCGCCAAGGACCAACGGTGCGAAATTTCGAATCGCGATCGATCCACTGCGCAACCGACTCTCGCGTCTCCGAAAATATCCCTAAAACGGCCAATTCTTTTCCCCACCTTCGCAACCACGCACGTGCACCCGCGCCATATTAGTTGCACGATTAGTCGTTACTCCGACGAAGCGAAAGGATCGGAGAATATTTATCAGGGACGCGCGAAAGACGGACGGTACACGCATCGTATCGCAGACTAGGGGATTTTTAAGCTAAAATTTCCCTGGATAATGAGCCGACGAGGGAAACATATGCTCATTAGCGAGAAGAATGGTTGATTCGGCATGCGTTTGGAAAGCAACGCGAACGTTCTCTTGCGTAGAGCAAAGGTTGACTAGCCTTGGAGTTTATTAAATAATGGCCGCGGTGAATGATCGTGCAACGCGCTCAGTCCAGTCAGCGTCTGCGTACAAAAGACACGGAGTCGAATCTGTCTCTCGCCGAATGCCACGCAACGTCGGTTAATATCGTTTACGGCAATTGCTTTCCACCGCGAGTCCTTAGGTTCGAATATTATCGGCAACAACTCGTTCTATTTTCCGTTCTCCATTTCATTCGACCAAGTGGGTTATACATACTCACCGCGGCAGCTCGAGTGTAACGCAAAATCAACGCCGCTGTTCCCCTCTTACGTTTCCGCGAACGCGAAGACCATTTTATTCCCGACACGAACACGAACACGAACACGAACACGAGCACGAGCACGAGCACGGAATGGAATGGAATGGAAGAAATCACGGTACACTGGATAGATTCGCCAGGTTCGCGTATGTCTCCGGTACACTCGTCCTCAAGGTATATTTCGCGATCCGATCCTCGCAGAACTAGGGAGTAGGTACAATGACGTCACGCGCTGATTACATTACGGACTACAAGGCCGCATTAAACTATTCTAGAAGCCGTACTTTGCACGTCTCTTGCGTCCAGTGTGCAAATAAAGGGTAACATAAGACACGCGAACTGCGTTCCTCGTCAGCTCGCTACGCTTCCCGCCTCTCCATTGCGGCTTCTGCAATTAATCTCTACGTATCCCGGGCCGGACAGTCCTCTCTGGCCGTTTCGAGTATCGAGGAATTCCTCGAGCCACGGAAACCGTGACGCACGCGTCGTAACTCGACGATTCGTGAAAATCCAATCGCGCAGGGATGCGAGAATTTGAATTCCGTTCGAAACGGTGAACAACCGTCGGATGCGTATAGCGCGAATCAAAGATGGTGACCGGCGGTGCTCTTCCTTCCGTCGCGTACGGCTTCTCTGCGACACCGATTACATAAATCGCGTTCGTATCGCGCACGCGATGAACCTTTCAACGGCGAAACGCGAAGAACGTTTTCATCGTGCAGTGACGCGAACCGTTATTATTTTCGTTGTTAACCCTCCCCTGTTCTCCCGACCTTGAGCAGTGTCGAGAAGTCAGCGACACGAGCAAGCGCGATAGCTTTGTTTTCGAAAAGGGCCGGTGTCCGAAGAGATTGCAAGAAACGAACAGTATCGTGGCGATTATATGTAACTGCGGGATCAAGAACGCCGGAGACACGGTGATAAACGATGTATACGCTGTCAAATTATGCAATAGCTTCGAGCGCAATGCTTACAGCCGAACCGCTGACATTTCAAAAACCTTCGAGTTAATACGCTTTCGCAAACGGCTTTCCGTCTCGGTCGTTGCACGAAACAGGAGTTACAATTTCCTCGAAAGACAAAGCAAACGTTAATTCTCGTTAAGGAGCTGTCATACGACGCGAGAAATCGAGAGGCGACGAATATATCGTCGAATTGGAACCCTTTAAGATATACGGAGTATATATCGGAAACTAATAAGACTATACCAAAGTACAGTCTAAACGGCATGTACGAGATAAACGACAACGATCGCGAACGAGCGTGAAATAAGAGTATGAATAGCTCGCGATACTGCTACGTCGTTGAACTTCGGTTAGAAATCGTGTGAAAGTGAAAACGCTGATTGCATCGCGCTACGGTGACCTCCGATACGAACTGACAAATAGAAAACTATACACATTCGAATCGAACACATTGCTGGATAAATTGGAAAAAAATTCAGTTCGCTCCTTTCTCGTCTTTATCACCGGCGACTGACGGCTACGTATTTCCTTTCACCTGTTAAACCATTTCCTTACGTTACTTTACAAAGTTAAACGATCCGTGTCATCGACACATCGCGAATTCGCGCGTAACCTCTTCGGCTCGAGTGCCGACAATAGCCGAAAACAGCCGAGTACGTCCGTGGATCGGGCGCCAACGGAAATCGACGAAAACCAACGAAAGTTCACGATTACCGAAACGTAATTACGTATTACGTATATAATTTACTATCGTATTTGGCCAATTGTTTTATGTTGTTCGTAAAAAGTGCCGTGTCGACTCTTGTGCAATTCTTTGATGTAAATAGTTATAATTGACTTTTTATAGTGAAACACGTGTAATATAAAAGTGACACTTTTGGCGGGAGACAAGACTCGCGCCAAAGAGGTTAGGATACGCGTCTATCGAAAAGATCAAAACGTTGGAATTTTTCGTGATACGTTCGATATTACGCGAAGGGATAGGAGAACACAAACTGCAGAAATGCATACGCAGCATATGGCACATTATCAACGTGGCAAAATATCGCGCGATACTGAACGAAATTGATGCGTCAGCGTCGGCGTTTTCGCAATATCGTATCGTTTCGTCCACTTTCGGATACGCGTGTCGGGTATCAAAGGCACGTTCCACGATCGAGAATTTGCATCCTTTTCAGCGCTTACTCTCGTTTCCTCCCGTCCCTACGTTTCTTCGCGTTGTGTTTGAGGCAAACATCGAGGTGTACCGCGGACATATGCGCCTCTCTCGCCGGTCCATACAACGAAATAGGGCTCGAATTAGCGCTAGTGTTGTTTTCATAGAAAGTATCAACGATGCGGCAAAAAATCTTACACCAAGCACACGAGTGCGCGTCATGCGAAAGACTCGACGCGTTGAAGCAAACTCGAGTAGCACTACGAGCCGTCTGCCGCATTACCATAAGTGGATCATCGAGGCTTTTCGTCCGGAAATGGTGGTCAAAGCGTTTCGAATAAAAATCTCGAAATTTCTCTTTAATTTTCTCATCGAGGCATAACGTTTTCCTAAATACGTTCAAACGACTCGACGCGAGATATTTCGAGCATTTCAAAACTCGTTTATATTTCTTGAAAATAATGTATATAGGGTGCAGAATTCGTCGCCTAGGGACTTTTACCAGTGAACTAGGAACCATGTGCATTCGGGCTCTAGTTAAATATCAAAGTTTCCTTCTAATCGCGAACCACAAATTTATCGATCGATCGTTGCAATCAAACATGGCGAATGCGACAGGATTAAGCGGGAAATAGAAAGGAGAAAGGAGAACGGAATTTCATACTGTGTATACATAATTACTCGAAACGTTTATTACGATTTTATTGCAATTCGACTTTAGTCGGCGCTCGCTACGCGTTTCCATGCATAGTAATGCGTATTGGATGGAGGAAGGAGGGAAAAAAGCACGAAGGGGTTGCGTCGGGAAGTGGTTAAGGGCTGGGAAGGGTCGATTATACGCGGTGTACACGTATCGCGCGTTATACTAGCGTGGCGACTATCGAGAGCATGAGTCACCTATGCGTAGGCGTCTCGATGGTAATGCGCTTATCGGCGCGGGCGCTTTTAGAAATTATTTACATTCGACGACCGTGTAAATAACGAAGGCGAGCAGCATCTAGCTCGACACACACGTATGCCACAGAGTAATTCCGGAAAACCGATTCTTCTCTACGCGATCGACGGTTACAACGTTCCAACGACACACATTTTCAAACGCGTCACGTTTTCGCGACGGTGAATGAACGGGTAATGACCGCCATAAGAATTCCGTGTACGCGTTCTTCGAGATACTCGCGATTCCCGATCGATCATTCCCGTTTTCGGATTGCGAAAAATCCCACTGGTGAATCACCTGCGCGGAGGGTCAGTTCGCCGGCTAGCCAATGGCGCGCGTCATCCACGCGTCTTCGGCCCAACTTTCGTCTCTTCTTTCCAACCTTCCCAGAACTCGCATCTTTGTCCCCGCCTTCCCCGAAACACTCGTCTATCTTTGCGATTTGGTCCCAACTATCTGTTCATAAACACCACGGTGAAAGGGATACGGGCAAATCATATCGCGAAAAAATTTTGATTTCAACGAAGGTCTACGCGTATGTAAAGCGTGATGAAAATTTTTTTCGAGGGGAGCACCTAAACGGAAATAAAAGTTTTGCTATTTTTTCCAGCACCGAGTATAATTTTTACTGTTCTACTGGAAAAAAAATTTTAAGCAATTTTAGAGGTGTGTTTGACAAGCTATATTCGGTGTATTCGATAAAGTGTTCCATGTAGGAAAATCAGAATTTTCTGATTAGGTGAAATTTTGATTGAACGTATATTTCAATTATTAATTATTTTCAATTATTTTTAATTTTAATAAGCGCGTAAGTCGAGTATGCATCTTGACATTCGTGGTTATGCTTAAATTTTCGCTTTATTTCTGCGCCTTATGTCATCGTTTTCCGCTCGTTTTTACCCGTTTCATTGTTAGGGTTGGAATTAAGAACAGCGTTACCCTCGCTTCTCGCTTCTCATCACGTACGTTTATACGAGGCGATATTTTATGCGATGACACGCATTAATCATTGCACGTGCATCTCGTGCGAAAAAGCTGCTGGATTTCGTTCAAACTCGGCTCACGATCAGCGATTATTTGCATACGCGATCACAATACGAGACCGAAGCGAACGCGATCGTTTTTCCTTACTCTGGCTGTGTTATAATCCGCCGAC